AAAAAAAAAAAAACACATACGAACGAATATAAAATTTATGGTATTAACTTCATCTTTCGACAAATTTTCTATAACCCATCACAAAAAAAAAAGCTCAAAGTATTCATTCGTTTCAAATGACATTTTTTTTCTGCTTTTAACAAAAAAATATTCTTCATTAAACAATTTTTGAGTATATTAAAGAAATTTCAATCTACTAAATTAGCAAAATTGGCTTCCTTTCAATCCTCTTATTTTTGCCTTTTTTTTTTTTTTTGCCTAGGACTTGGACAGCTGTCTAGTAAGTAAAAAATCAGACAAGTTGGGACAACAAAAGTCTTTGACTGCTGCTAGCAGAATTTTAAAACAGTCAAACAAATACAAAAGCTGATAGGCGTTATATCCGACACTGTATAACTAACTTATATTTATTTATTTTAAAATAAAGTTGAAAAAACAGTTAATGCATAAATTCTTTAACAAAAAATTCTGCTCTTTTCTTCAACTTTTTTTACTACCCTCAAATAAAATAAAACGAAAGAAAAAAACTAGAAAATCTGAAACGAAAAACTGAAATTGACAGACTATAATCCAGTATTACACTCAAACACAAAAACACACACCAAATAGTTCCTTAGAGAGATCTCCAAAACAGCAATAAGCTTTATTCGTTTTTCACAACAAACGAAACTGCAGTAATATTGTATTTCACCTGAAATTCAATAAACAAAAAAAGAAAAGAAACGATAAAAAAAACCACTGAAAATTGATGGTAAACATACATATATTAACGATCGTTATTATATCACCGTAAAACCACCGACAAAAGACATCGGGTTAAAAAAAATAAAATTAAAGAACAATAAAAAATCAGTTGACAACATGATGCTGTAAAAATCAAAACAAAAAAGTGTAAGTTACGAATTTTCCTTCTTTCACTATTCATTTCTTTCCTTCATTTATCATTTTTTTTTTTTTTTTCTTCTTCAAAACGTCGGCAGCATAACTGTAGCAATATTTTCTTCTATCAGTGGTCACAAAAAATGAACAAAACTCTATATAGCCGTCGTTAAAATAAATTAATACTGCATTACAAGATAAAAGGAATTATAGTTCTTAAACAACAAAGAAAAAAATACAATAAAATATTAACCACTAACATACAATATATATAGCAACAGATCAATTTGTGATTCAAAAGACAAACACAGATTTACCCGATACTTACGACAAAAAGGAAAAAAAAGAAATAAAAAAGAAAATAAAAACAAGTAAAACAACGAAGCTTTTTCTTCCCCCTTGTTTTTATTAATGTTTTCAAAAATCTAGGCCATTTCAGAACCAAAAAAAACCGATACAAGAATTGAACTACTAAACTGCTCGATCTACCCTTATAATACAAAAGTGTCCAATGAGCTATGAAATGCTCTTTTGGCAAATGTTTCCAGTAAGTGTTACCCCTTAAATAAAAAATACAAAACTGCGAAAATCTGTTAAAAATGAAAAATGATAAACTAAAAAAATGTCGAGTGAAATTCTTCTGTTATTTTTATTTCTTTTTTTCCTTTC